AAAAAAAAAAAAAAAAAAAAGGGACCCTTGGCTGAAAAAAAAAAAAAAAAAGCTGTCTCTCTGGGCTGCCAAACCACTAATAGGGGGAAGTTCCTCCCTTCCCAGCCACGCTCAGCCCAGCAGCCAGAGCCCGTACCAGCTGAGGGGGGAGCAGGGACAGGGCGCTCAGCCCATCCCTGGACATCTCACCCAGGACAAATCCTGGCCCTGCCACCTCCGTGCCGTTTCCTCACGGCTTAATCCTCTGCTGACGGAAAAAGTGATGCTCGTTTCTGAAAAATCAGCAGCTCCCCTGGTGGTCTCTGCATCCCCCTCCCCCTCCCACCCGACAGGGCAGCAGAGCCTTTCTGGGACAAGCCAGCCCGTGGCTCGGTGGCCAGGCAGCTGGCAGGCAGCAAGGCGAGGCATGCTGTCCCTGGAGCGCTGGGAACCCCCTACTCGAGGGGCACGGCATGCAGGCGAGGGCTGCGCGAGTAGGGAGGGGAGCAGCAGGGACACAGCAGTCACCACAGCGGAGGAAGCCCCGTGCCACAAGCACCAGGCTGTGAAGAGCATCCTGCACTGCAGGCAGCCCACAGGGCTCTGGGCAGGAGGAGAAGTCACGGCTGCTGCAAGCTCCCCACCATCTGACTGTCCAGGAACTGCTGAGCGAAGACAGCACCTGGTAGATCCCCTCAACGCAATCCTGACAGGACCACTTGCCTGGTGCTGAGCAGCAGGCGATGAGCCAGAGCCCCTGCCAGCCCACGGGCAGGGCCTGCTCCCATATTCACACCCAGCACAGCAGACTGCAAAATGCTGACAGATCCCCCTGCAACGCCCAGCAAGACCTGGCCACGCACATAGCTGCGGACCCCCAGCACAGCCCCCTCAGTCCTGTGATGCTGCCAGCTCCCCCATCATCCCCATCCCACCGCACACGCCACAGAGAAGGACCTAGCCGGGTGCAGCCACCACCACCTCTCATCCTACCAGCCCCAGGGCAGCACGTAGCATGGGACAACCCCATGGCAAGGCCTCTGCACTGGGAGGAAGAGGAGAAACCCCCAGGAATGTCTCAGCAGCTGCATCCATTCACCCCAGGGCAACTCAAGGCTAAACCCTGCCAAGGAGAAGTCTCCTCCACCCATTACCTCCTCTCTGCCCCATGGCAGCAAGGGGACACAAGTAAGGCCACGCTCAGGTGTGCCACCTGCAAAGGCCTTTTAATTCCCTGTTTGGTAAGACACGAAGGTGTTGGGAAACCCCTGCCCAGGGGAGAGAGACAGCACCAGCACCAGGCAGCAGCAAGGGGAGAGCCCAGAGGCAAAGGTGTTATGAGCAGGGCTGGGGCAGCAGGCCTAGACCCGTGCCGCTGTTACTGCTGCTTTCGGGGCACAAGCATCTCCTGCCCAGATGGGAAACTGTCCCTCCTGTCAGCCACACCAAGCACAAGCCCCAGAAATTCAGTGTCCAACTTTTGGGGGCTCTGCTCCTGCTGGGGAGCAGCTGCTGGGGAGCCAAGGCTCGCCCAGCAGTGCGTCGGCGCTGCGGAGGCAGGGCATGAATGGAAATCATTATCATCCACGAGACCACACACAGGCACGCACGCTCC